AGCCATTTGTTCACTCGCGAATATTAATTAAAACGGAAATAATATTTCCAAATGGCTTTTCATTGGTAATATGTAAAACATTATAAATTGTGTGCATTATTAAGCACAAAAATGGACATAAAATCTATTAAGAAGAATAGATTGTTTACATTTCCTGTCTTTTAACTAACATGAAAAAGCAATTGTCTTTTCTGCCATAAACAGACGAAATAAAACAAAGGGAAAAAAGTTATAATAAAAACTACCAAAAATCTTCAAACACATACCTAGAAGAATTTCTAATTACACTTACCTTTCTACTTCCTGCACCACCTTAATTTAGAAAATTAACTAAAAGCAAAAACAGCCACAAATATTAAAATGAAGACAAACTGTACTTGTTTGAACAATTCAGGGAATTAGTAATTAGTTAAGTCATCAAGTAGTGTTTTATGTCATCAACTACTGTTTTATGTAGTAACCCTAGACAAAAATTTTCAGTCTCTCTCCAGTCTCTCAGAGTCTTGCAGCGTCTCTCACAGTCTCTTTCACAGTCTCTTAGTTATTGCCTAGGTGTTTTTATGGATCTCTCACAGTCTCTGTATGAGAGACTCGAACGATAAAATTGTTAATTCAGAGATTTGAGTCTCTCACAGAGAGACTGAATGAATAAAACTGAAAAATTGAGAGACTCGAGTCTCTCGTTCAGAGACGCTAAACAGTTTTTTTAACAGTCTCTCTCAACGACACCAGAGAGACTCGATGAGAGACGGAGAATCGAGTCTCGCTTTCAGAGACTGTGAGAGACTGAACATTATTAACTCGGGAACTAGTTGAGCCCATCCATATTTAGACGGTTGCACTATTTTCCGATGGTGCAAGCACATTCTATTTTATTTTCTGCGATAGTTTCGTAATGCATGTGTATGCAATCGATTAATTGATGATTCTAATTAAACGAAAAAATTCAAAATTTTAAAAATAGCCCTATCTTTTTTTATATTCAGTTAGTTCAAGGATAATATATTCCGCGAGAAAATAGATTTCCACGGTACGACTGCAAGTATAAAAATTAATTTTTGTCATATTCAATCTTTAATAACTTTTAAACCGTTAGATAAAATTGAACAAATTTTCAGTAAAGCGCGGTCCTCGATCGTATAAATCGATAGGTTTTTTAGCATTTGACGCCTTTTCCCGTTTTACGACAATTTTAAATCGAAAAGTGCAATTTTTGAACGCTTTTTTTCCACGGTCTACTGCAAGATTGACATAAATACAAACAAACCTACGGTAGAACATTATATATGATAGTATTTCGCATTCTTTTGATATTATAAAAAAAGCGTATTTAAAAACTAGTGAGTAAGACGAATGATTGATCAGAAGGTGTGTTATATTCACCACATTAATTTAAAAATAGTGCAATGTTCATCGACAATTCACTATAACTTAATCGAACTTTGATTGACGGTATTAAGAGACCGTTACTCTCCTGTACGAATAAATAATAAAAGAAAAAATAGACGTGTCGAACAAATTTGTGAATCCCAAATGAAATTCAGCGACGCTGCATTTTTTGCTGATCGCCTGAAAGTCTCTCTATAAAGTGATGTCTAGGGTAAGTTTTTTTTCTTGTTTGCTAATGGACCTTTTATTGTGCTTTGTTTGCACATGATCTACTGTAGAACGAAGGCGCTTCGTATTTCAATCAATTTAGAAGTGGGTATGTGGATCCAAAGAACAAAGAAATGAAGAACTTTTTTTTTACTTATTTTTCATTTCTTCGTTCGCGCAGACCCGGCAAGATCAAGAAGACACGACCATTGACGGACTTGTTTGTTTTTCATTTACTTTATTTGAAAAGCCACGTATTAGAAACGTTTAAACGTATAAATATTTGAAGAGGCTTACAAGGAATGGGGCCCTCTCTTCAATGGTGACCACGGGAGAGGACCCGTACGACCCAAGACAACGACAAATAAATGGTACACTGAATAAATATTAACGGAAAAGTGGGAAATGATGTACAATTGGATTAAGATGCAAACGAACATTCTTCGACGTATTTTCGACATGTGCATTTCTCATGTTATGTTTCCCCACGGTGAAAAAATATTTGTTTAAAATACGTGAAGAGTTAAGAAATATATTTGGCCGAATGAAGAACAAACAGTCTAAAAATAAATTTGACTGTTTCACGCGCTATTTGTACCATCATCGATGGTACTGTTAAATAAATTCTCAGTTGTAACAACTGCTTTGTCAATAAACATGATATATCTGTCAATTACGAGGGTGGATTGATAAGTTTCCGGCCTGACCAAGAAAAACAAGGTTTTTAAAAATTTTTTTTTTTTATTTCTCAACATAATCTCCTCCAAGGCTGATACATTTCTCATAGCGGTGTTCCAGTCTATTAATGCCATCTCTATAGACTGATTCGTCAAGCTCCTCAAAATAACCATTTACAGCTTCGATTACTTCTTCATTGTCCGCAAATCTCTNCTGGAGAGTACTACACACAAAAGACGACGGTTTTTCAGTGGGATCATCTCTCTCGCCTACACTAGAGGTATACAGGTGTCAGGTACACACTGAAGAAGCTTTTAAACAAGAAATGGACACCATCAAGAAGGAGTTACAATAAAATCACTATCCACGTCAACTATTATTGGAGGAAACTATCAGAGAAGGAAACAAGCAAGAAATTTTGTCGAAGAAAACAGCAGAATACAATAAAAATCCGACACATAATCCTATACGTCAAAGGCTTTACATTTTAACAAGGATTAGATCAGAAACTCTACCACGTGAAAAAGAATGCATCTATAAAATGCCACGTGAATGTGGATCACATTATACAAAGTAATAAAGAGGCCTTTAAAGACACCGATAAAAGAACACCGAAACCACACAATACGAGGGGAAACAGTCAAATCCAGAATAGCACATCCTGGATTTAACACCACAGGATAGATTGGGATACAGCCAAAATTATCCACTATGAGGTCATTGATACCGAAGTAAATTTAAAAAAACAGCATAGATACAACTTCAAAAATCCGCATTCCTTCAGTCAGGCCAGCATAAAAATTCCAAACGTCTGGAAATCCACCAAAAAGGGGAATCACGAACTGGAACTGGAACCAAGGAAACCGTCATGGGCGAATAAGCGAATAATAGTAAGAATAATAAATGTCTTGCCTACTATATACTATGATAAGGTTGTATTGCATGCTGTGAATATGTTAGATGTTTTTGTATAAAACTAAATAAGAACTAATAATTATTTATTATTATCGAAACCATATATGTTTCCACGTCGATATTAATCGACTCCCTAATAGTCCAAAAGACCTACGAGTTAGCAACTTTTTGCAAGCTAATAAAATTAAAAACAGGATTGATGAAAACTATTAATAAGTACTTAATTAGACTGCCACTCCAGTTCACAGTAAGTATTTAAGTAAGTACTTCCACCTGTAGCTTGCATCAGTTTTATACATTTATTAGTCCAACTACATCTTACATTGTATATAATAACCGCACCCTTTCATGTATTTTATTTATAAAAAGAAAATATAGCAAACATATGCATGTGTACATTGAGGTATGCTGTTTTGCGGATCTTACTGACAGTGGCGCCACCAGAAATTAGGGTTGGAGGGAGCTGGTTGAAATTTCCAATATATCACCTACTTGAAATTTATGTTGGGTTTAACCAAATTCGTTGCCATAAATCTATTATTATTTATATGTTGCATTTTACGAATTACCTTAATCTATATCTTCGGTTGGGAAGAGTGTGGTCCCTTCCGAAAAGTGAAACAGCAAAAATTGAACATATAGATAATAATAGACTTATTACCTACTTATTTTTGGATAGAATATTTAAATAAAACAATACAGCAATAGTTTAAAACTTTTATTAAAAAATACGTAGTTCTATCTATCTTCTGCTTTTCAATAAAAAAAATGAATTACCTTCTCAATGTCAATTGTTGTTGAGTGGTGAATATTGAGAAGTGCAACCCTACCAGCCAGTTTTAACCAATAGTGTCATGCAGATAGGTACGACTTCTTTTAATATTGAGTGAGATCTCTCTGTAGTAGAATATGACACTAGTAGGGTTGCAAATATTTTTAAAAAGTGACAAATAGGAGGAAATATTACTTTATTGCACAATAGGAGACCATCTACTGCTGTATCCTAGACTAAAATTTTCAGTCTCTCTCCATTCTCTCTTTCAGCGTCTCTGAGAGCGTCTCTCACAGTCTTTCACAGTCTCTCAGTTATCGCCTAGGTGTTTTTATGGATCTCTTACAGACTCCGTATGAGAGACTCGAACGATAAAATTGTTAATTCAGAGATTCGAGTCTCTCGCAGAGAGACTGAATGAATAAAACTGGAAAATTAAGAAACTAGAGTCTCTCATAGAAAGACTGGGATCTCTGAAATATGTTGAATTTTAACCATGTCTATCGAGACAACACTTATTGAGAGATTCGAGTCTCTCGTTCAGAGACTGGATAGGAAATGAGGTATAGGTCATAGACGCTAAACAGTTTTTTTGACAGTCTCTCGACAGTCTCTCTCAGCGACACCAGAGAGACTCGACGAGAGACGGAGACTCGAGTCTCGCTTTCAGAGACTCTGAGAGACTGAACATTTTTATCTTGGGTAGAAAATTTAGCGTAATTATTAAAACATTGTTGTTTTCGTAAACCATATTCTGAAGTTATAATAATCTCATTTGTAAATAAATTGTTTTGTTTATAACAATTCGAGAGTATAAAATTTGAATCTCGGGGAGGGGAGGCTCTGGTTACAGCCCTTCTGGTTGCGCCACTGAAAATAGGTATCTGTGTTTGTTATACAGACCAGTGGATCTGACAAACAGAATTTTAAAAATACGAAAATCCCATTTCGGATAAATATTGAATATCATTTTTAATGTTTTTCTGGTAGGTAGGTAATCAAAAAATGCATGCATGATTAAAACGTCAAAACTACTCACCGGTCGTTGGACTGATTTGAAAGCTGGTATTTCCAGGTATGAGGTTGTATCTCAAAGCAGCATTGAGTCCAATATCGGCATCGGTGGCAGAAACGACCCCCACGAAAGCACCTCTTCGTTGATTTTCTTCCACGCTAAATTCGTACGAATCACTCAAGAAAACCGGATCATTGTCATTCGCGTCTAACACTTTTACCGTAACTTTTGCGGTGGCGGTTTGCGACGGGGTGCCGTTATCAGTTGCTGCAACTATGAGGTCGTAGTTTTCTTTCTGTTCCCGATCGAGATTGTTACGTAGGTAAATCCAACCGCTGTTAGGGAAAATACCGAAAATATCGACGGAATTCGAAAAACGATTCGAATTATTCGTCGAGGCCAGTCGATATGTCAACCTGGCATTGTTTCCGGTATCGAGATCGATAGCTGTAACTTGGAGTATCTGTAAGAAGATATGAAGCCGTGCATTAATGTCACTAATAATAAATTATTTATTCAAGTTTTTCAAGATGGTCACTTTTTTCTAGAACAATTCTTCTTAATTGATTTGTAGTTTTTCCCCTAATAATAAGTACAAACAAGTAATATGTACATAAAAAAATCGTTCAAATAGACCAAGTTCCCTGTTATATTTTCCCGATTTTCCCATGATAAATGAGATTTCCTGGATTCCCGAGGGTGACTTAATAATAAAACCGTTATTGATAGAAAAACAAAAGAAGATTTTACTTCGGATATTAGATCACTGACCTAAGTCATAAAATCAGCGTTGACGTTCGATTGCCAATACTTCATTTGCTATAATAACTTGAACTCTGACCTCACTTAGTACATCAATCATCACTCGACAAGGCCGAAGTTGAAAGAAGAATGTAAAACATTTCTACTACCGTAGGTATATTTTCATTGGGATTGAATAACTAATTTTTGTACATTTCCGATAGTTACACAACATCTGCTGCCTATTTATTTTATGGCGCTCTGTAACTTAAATTTATTAACTTACCTGTGAACTGATTGGCAACGATTCTGATATTTTCGCAGTGTATTCCTTCTGTTCAAACACTGGTGGGTTGTCGTTAACATCTTGGACTTCGACGATGATGCTGAGGTTGGACGACAACGGCGGTACACCTTTATCAGTAGCAGTGACGATTAGATTATGTCTTTGAGTGGACTCATAATCTAGGGATCGTGTAATAGTGATGTGGCCAGATTTTGGATCGATGGCAAAAAGACCAGCACTGGATCCTGTGTTCACCAGTCTGTATTGAACCGCCCCATTTAGACCTGAATCGTTATCTCTTGCATTGGCTGCATAAAGTGGAACGCCGACTTCCACATTTTCGGGGACCGATATTCTAACTGTATTGGATTCGAATTCGGGAGCATTGTCATTGACGTCCAAAATATCGACATTAACCTGGACGGATAAAAAAATACCTAACTCAGAAACATATATATATCGACACTACTTCCATTCTTCAATTGCGACCTTTGCAAAAAATGTCTACAAATAGAGTAAATGTTTTACCTGGGCATGACCATATGCTGGTGGATCTCCACTAGTGGCTTGGATGTTCAATAAAACACTTGCTCTACTTTCATGTTCCAAATTTCGAGCTGTGCGTATTGAACCACTGACTGGATCGATGCGAAAAAATCCATCTGGATCTCCGGAATAAATAGAGTAGCGAATCGACCTGTGTCCACCTGGAACAAAGAAGTCAATCCTTGTAGTGAAAGCAAATAACATTCAATCAGAAAATGGTTGCAATAAGAAAAGCAAATGAAAACTTAGTACAGAGTTACGGGCCAGCGTCCGTCGAGCATGAAGGATGATTAACTGAAAAATTATTGAGTTGAAAATTATCTGACCAAGATCAATAAAAGTAGGTTATGTATGTATAGGTATGTGCTCACTAAATGAACTGCTGGCGTAGACAATTCAGATTAATAAATAATGAGAACCATTTAAAAAACTATTTAAGGATCCAAAAAATTGTGGATTATATGTATTTCTCATAAACAATCACTTTGTGGACATCCGCTATTTGTGTTAAAAATCTCATCATCATCATCATAAGGTCGTCAGTCCTAAGACTGGTTGGAAACGCACCTTCACTCTTTCCTATGCTGAGCTAAACTTCACATTTCCCTAAAACTAGAACAACCCACATCCTTAACTATTTGCGAACAGTAATCTAACATAGGTCTACCTCTACCCCTCTTAATTCCTGTTTCTGTCTCTAATATGTCTCTGACCAGACCTTCATACCTGAGAAGGTGTCCTACTAACCTATCTCGCCTATTTTTTATTGACTTCCATATAGTCCACTGTTCTATTATTTTTAATACCTCTTCATTTCTAACTTTTTCTACCCACGTTATCCTCATCATTCGCCTATAACACCACATTTCGAAGGCTTCTAACCTATCCCTTTCCGCCGCGCCCACTGTCCATGTTTCGCACCCGTACAACGCCGTGCTCCAAACCTTTAACAATCTTTTTCGAATTTCTAAATTAACCGTTCGCGAGCATAGAAGTGAATTCTTTTTATTAAAGGCGACACGACCCTGCGCTATCCTCTGCTTTATATCCCTACTANTCCACTGTTCTATTATTTTTAATACCTCTTCATTTCTAACTTTTTCTACCCACGTTATCCTCATCATTCGCCTATAACACCACATTTCGAAGGCTTCTAACCTTTTCTTTTCCGCCGCGCCCACTGTCCATGTTTCGCACCCGTACAACGCCGTGCTCCAAACCTTTAACAATCTTTTTCGAATTTCTAAATTAACCGTTCGCGAGCATAGAAGTGAATTCTTTTTATTAAAGGCGACACGACCCTGCGCTATCCTCTGCTTTATATCCCTACTTTTTCTTCCCTTGCATACCAGCATTTTAGTTTTACTTTTTTTTATTTTCATGCAGTACTGATCTGTTAGTAGGTATTAAAAATATAGAAAGAAAATAAGATATTGCATGTACGTATATGGTACACTCTGTATATTGTGCATTCTATTTTGAATATATTATACAGGGTAAAGTCCAATAGAAACTTTTGGTCGTTTTGCAACTTAACGTAAACGGGCAGATAAGCATCTGCTTCTCAACAAACGAAGAATAAACTAAAAAAGAAAAAAAAAGAAAGAACGAAATAAAGAAAGAAAATAAGAAGTCCGGGACGGTGGGACGGACGTGCGGAAAGGGAAATGCAAGTGAAGCGGAGGCATTAATAAATGCCGGGAAACACGATCCCGTGCACCTTCCTCGTTCCCTTGATCTTCCATAGAGCCAATTTATAAGGCCATTTTTAGCCCGAAACAAAACATCTAAACAAACTTGACATTTATAGTTGCGGACACAAAGACCGTCTGATGTCTCTTCCACACACAGTGTGCTGTGCATAGGTACGCGGTGGCAAATTCGCGGAGAGGCGAAGAGCTGCGACGGGTGCAGACAAATTGCACCCGTTGTGTAACCTCGCGGGCGGTATCCCACCCTTATAATAGTTCGTGATAAGCCGTCGCCATTCTCTGAGTCGCCCAGTAAAAATACAACATACGGCTATTATTACTTTTATTATATTCCTTACCATTAAACTCTCGTACGTTTGTTACGACTTACTGCTTGTTATTAAGCATGCCTTAATAGCACATTTTCACATGCACGTCTATACCTACATACAGGGATGCATTTATGAATAATATTTAATTTATACTATCTACTTATGTGATGAAAGCAATACGTGAGGTTTATTCTTGTTTGAATAAATTACCTGGGAGTAATTTGCTATCTTTCCAGAACGTTCAAAAAATTGTAGTTTAGGTGTATAATATATACGAATATGTCTAAATGTGAGAAAGGAGGGGCAGAAAAACTGGTAGGAGTTAGAGATAATTTTCTATAACAACACACAATTGTTTTTAATTGTCATGGAGCTGAAAATTGAAAATGAAGAGTGTGTGAATGAAGAAAATAAAGCTGACTGTCGGCCAAACAAGGAAATTGGGATGGAAGGGAATGGAGAGAGGTAAAAACGGTTAAAGTATAGATGATGGGACCGTCTATCGGAGGGGGATTGGGGTAGAGGGACGTCGGATGACCTCGTTCTGTAGTTGAATGGCAAGACTGTGAAAAAATCTTTCTTAGAGCCACATTTCTGTACACAAAAGAAAGGATTCACTTCATTTATATAATCCTATCATCCCAAGTAATCAAATAAAATCATTTAGTTGATGTTAGGCTAGATTATAGCAGGTCATATCATAGTTTTAACGCAAAAATGTTTTTATTTGATTGTATAGAATCATACGGTTACAGTAAGAAAAGATAACAAGAATGAAGTTAGTATTGTAAATGAGTCGTAGTCATGTCCAGGAATATGAACCTAAAAGGAATTTTGGATATCATCCAATGTCCCTCTACCCCAACAGACAATCCCATCCCATACAACTATACATTAATCGCTTTTTTGTTTCTATTCGATGCTTCAACTCCACTACCACAACTCTAGTAATCACTAATGGGTTAAAAATATGTATGATTTAATCTATATGGCTGTACTGGGTTCCTACCTTATCTACTTTGATGATCAAATTGCAGGGTAATAGTTATATGACTATGTTTCTCTAAAAATGCCCTATTTTAATGCGAATTTTTTGTATACTCATACACCAATAAACTTTCTAAAAATTGCAGAGTATTTTGTTGGTAATTCTTCTTCATACTATCATTTTTGATAGATTTGAAAATGATACTGAACTATTGCAGAAGATATGCGAATTTTTAAAATTCATTTGCAAGTTCATAAGACACCGAGGAGAATTTAAAAACCAAAGTTAGACGAATGATTAATGGCTTTTGTAACAGTATCGGGTAATGAACTTTCCTAGCAACAAACCTCTCTAGCGCAATGTTGGAGCTTGTCGGTGCGGCGCAAGTCATTACCTTGTTCTATTCAATTCTATTCTGTTCTCCACGTATGAAGCTCATTGTGCTTTATATTTGATAAAAAAAGAAATGGGAGGAAACTGTTACTTTGACCCTTTTCGGGTCGACCACGAACAACAAGTGATGACATTACTATTACAGAAGAATTCCATGGTAACGATGACACAGAAATTCCCTCCTCTGATGTTCTTTTATTTTGACTGACAAGGTTGACAGGTACTGTTATGTTGCAACCGCCTTTCATGTCATCCTAATGCATGTTCTCAAACTGTACATTAACAATTCTTATTTTAAAAGTTCCATAAGTCAAAATACAAAAAAATGATCCTGTTATTGATATTTGCAACAACAAATGCTGTGCATTATTTTATACGATTTCAAGTTTGCTTTTCTTTCATTGCAGTTAATTATACACCTCAACAGAATATATTTTCAGCAATTCTAAAAAGTACTGATTAACAAACATACGTTGTGTGAATAAGGAAAAGCAATTTTCCGGCTTTATGCATCGTAGACTGTTCTCCTTAACTCTAACCTGTATGAGTATTTCGAGAAAGAAAAAAAGAAAGTGGAAATTCCCCAATCAATATTTAGTTATATCTTTTTGTGATAACAGAACATATTTCCAGATCCTTTGTGTTGAATTTGATTCATAGTTAGTGAGTGTTGACTTCGTCATTGACGCTACAAATACATGAGCAAATTCTTATGATTCGTTTACTTTGTAATATTCCGTACCAATATCAAGTTTCTGTTGTTACTGTTGATCATGCTATTCTCTAAAATGTATTGATTTTGCGAGTTAAATTAGAACCAAAATCAATACATTTAGGAGATACACGAATGTTATAAAAACCATACTATTTAGGGTCCAAACGGTTCAATACTTTATGTTTGGCATAACTGCACTTTGAGATTTACTTTTTAATTTATTTTCTTTTCTTTGCAACTCGTCCAAGAGAATTTTTAGTAACACAACTAGGACTAATTACAAAAAGATCTTTGTGGATAGAAATTTTCGAATGTTCGATTGATCTGGTCGGCTTGCGGCAAAGACATTTAAGGCGTATCTTTTCCGTCACTCGTAGTTTTATTGCGTTACAGACATATTTCAGGAATGCGCCAAATAGAGAAAGTTGAAAATGTAATAGATACCCAAGAAGGTACCAATGTTACATAGGAATATGTTCTGCAATGGATGTTACGTACGCTGCGGTCGTTTTAAGAGATGAAAGGCGGGATTTATGGGAATTCCTCGGATATTGAAACACTATACGGGTTGGATGTCACAACCAATTAGAACTATTCCATCTTGGCTATTTTACTCTGAACTATTTCAAATTTCTTTAGAAAAAATATACCTAGATGCACTTATAATGTGATAAACCTCTTTAAACAATTAAGTTATAAACAAAACGTATGTAAAGTTGACCCTACTGATAATATATACCAAAGATGATCTTTATGAAAATAAATTCAGTATTACTAGATGTGCCCTCGTAACTGATTAATTCTTAAGAGCAATTAAACGACCACGGATGCCCTATTACAACAACTATTCCGGTTGCACTTGTGTGTGAACAAGTTTAATAAATGAATCGAAGAAACAATGGTCGGTATGGGCGGACAGGGCAAACGGACAAGACAATACCACACTGAAGACTCTACATTCACCGGTCGAATAGAATACAACAAACCGAACTATCCAAAAAAGGCATTGCCGTTGCCATTTTTTCCGTTTATTTTGAAATCG